CTAAACAATAAGAGAATAAAGAAAAAGAGAAACGAAGTAATAAGATGGTAGGAAGAATCACAGAAAAGCTAGAATACATTCATCATTATGGAGAAATATTGCAGAGTAAGCCAAAGCATTAAAGATGAGTAATGTGATTAAGAAAGTTGAGCTGCAATTAGTCTATTGTATCGTCCGCCATCCTTTACTCAGACTAGAACTATCGTTCAAGTCCCTGCATTTACTTTAACTTATGAGTAAGAAGGACTCAAAACTCATTTCATAGCTATTAAGGAATCCCTTATTCTCAAAATGTTTCATTTCTTATTTATTTATCTCAATTGGTTTACCTTCTTGTCCTGTTCATTGTCTTGATTGTAGATTTGTAAGTTGATTTTTCAACGGCTTCATTAATATAATAATTATTTTGGGTAACAGGACTAGAAATGCGCGCTTTATTTATTTTTATTTGAGAGGTCCGAGGATGTGTTTAGTTTAGAACTTCAGGGTATTTTTATAGGGACAACTAGGGGTGGCTTCCCACGCAAGGTATGGGAACTTTAGACCTGTTAGTAAGGTTATATTTGTTATTGAGATATTATATATATATATAGTTCAAAAAAGTAGGGATGGTTGATATGATGCTGATTCAAAAAGATAATGGAGTATTGAACATGAATTAATACTATTGCCAAGCGATGGTGAGGTGCTTTTGGCTTTGAAATTTTCAACAAGCCCTACCAGCATTCTTCAATGGGGTAAAGAATTCCTACCTAATGCATGCTACTGGCGAGGAGTCACAATGCAAAAATGGAAGGGTCACAGAGCTGGTGCTGGAGAGGGTAAATTTAGCAATTTTGATAGCTGTTGTTTCAGCCTCATCCTATCCCAAAGTTTCAGAATGAAAGTTAAATTTAACCCCAAAAATGGTTTTTACACAATTAAAAAGAGGTGGAGGATACCTGGCTGGTATCCTTTCCAAGCCAGAAATGTATATCGCATAAATATGCTTCTCCCTTGCCAGGTGATGTTTGAAAGTGTAAATGGACAATACAAGATTGATATTAGTTTTTATTTGTTCACTGGATCGAAACTTAAAACAGGATAAAAAGTTTAAGCTTTTCCTTGATTGAAAATCGAAGAGCCTGTTTGGGTAGAAGATTATTTGGAAAGGTTTTTCATGTCAGTATAGTAGCAATTTTTGCAATGTGATGCAACATGTGACTCGTTCCATATTTCATGAAATAAATGGAATAACAGGTATTGAAAGATCAGTATAATTATCCACTGCAGTACAAACTATAACAGATACCTGAGAAGCAGGTTCTAAGGTTTTCACAGAGCTAGATACCTTGTCAAATTCTTCTTGCAGCCAACTCTTCCAAGAAAATAGAGAACAAGACTTTTAAAGCTTAAAAGGTCCAGTAGTCTTCAAACTCTGAACAGTGCCTACAAAAAACAAACAGCGGCAGACAGGCTTAGCAAGAATAGAAAACAATATCAAGTCAAAGGTCGAGTTCTATATCATGATTTCAGTGCATGATGCAAAGTACATGAAAAATTACTTTAGACAGATAGCAAGCATTGTAAAGAACATGAGAATGTTCTAAATTTGGTAACTTAAGAAACTAAACCCATCACAAAAATGGGAAAAGAAAACAAACTGGAACTTAATGTCAGAGTTGTTCTATTCTTCAACAAGAAGAAAGATGTTTTTGTCAGTACCTTCAACAAGCAAATAATTCTTTGTAATGATATAATTCTAGATTACTGAGCCATTTTGTATAATAACAGGCTAACAAATCTGTAGTGTAACTTGCTACCTTCGAATGACCTTAGAAACTACCTGGAACCAGTAATGCTCCTGCCCATATCGTATACTTCTAAATTGAAACTCGCTCATTTTATGTCTTTCATTTTAATAGCAACAGATTCAAACTGGACACACAAGTGAGTGCCATCTCATTAATCCGCTCATAGCCAATGAAGAGCTGGGCTACAAATTCAGAAGACATGCAGCTGAAATAGTCATCAATAGGTGTCTTTATTGCGCTTAATACTGTGCATTCTTTTTTGCAAGATGTGATACATAAAATTCAAAAGGAAATACTGATATAGTTTCAGCATCAAATAAAATTATCTGATACAGGCAGGGCAACAAACTCTAAAATCACAAATGTGGGAAAAAGTTGCTTTCCACTTCTCTCTCTGATGATGAGAGCAAAAATGATCTCAGTTTTTAAATGCTAAACTCTCAATAAGAGATTAATGGATTGGCAAAGTACGTTATGTAAGTAGCTCGATCTAATGGTCTAGAGGATAATAATAACGTAATTGACCATTGCTTTAAATTTGCATTGTTGTGAACCAAGATTTAAAGGCATAAAGTGCAAGTGCTGGTAATATAGAAGTCACTGCATGGGAACATATCTCACTATTCAGCTAAGTTCTCTGCAGTCCTTGATATAATTTACACAAGCTGCATAATTCTTCCTTAGCCACTCTTTTATGATTCTCGTCTCGCCCATGCAATTTTTTCCACTTTAGACCTGTTCAAAATTAAAGTGCAGTTTTTTCCCTGCACTTTTTCCCTGTATTCTGTTTTATGAATTTTAAGATACTTTCCCTGCATTTATGAATTTTCTGCATATTGCAAGTTTATGAAATCAGTAGAATAAACCTGTCAGTTTTAAGATTTTGAAAAAACAATTAAGTGCATAAATACCGTAGGATGGACATACAAACGGAAGAACATGCATCGGATGCACGAACAGTAATGCAAAGTTAAAAAGGACAGCAACATATGAAGAGGAATCATACAAGTGCAATGATTTATTTGTTTGGAAAGAAATACTGATGAAATAAATGAATAATAAAATATTAACTTGGTTATTTAATAAATAATTGCATTTTTACTTATAACTTGATAAGTGCCTTGCCGATGAAATTTTTGATGCTGTATTAACTTGGTTACTTAATAAAATAACTTTATGAAAAAATCCCCTATAAAGAAGAAATAGAAAAAAGGGAATGAAATAAAAGTTCAAGTTAGGGGACGCTTGAGACTCCCATAAGCCAGACCAAATTCGAATTCACATCTTTTGAACGCTATGAATCATATCAAAAACAACTTCTCTTAGATGACATGCCATAGGATAGTTTCAAAATCTTTAGTGTTAATTAATAGGAAGCTTCAAAGTACACTTACATATGTTGTGTCAGAAACAAAACTTTGAAGAAGACATAATCAAGAATTTAAGAGTACTACTGCACTCCTACTGGTTTCAGTTTATAACTTCAGAAGTCAAAAGCACACTGTTCTAGTTCTAGTTTTGACAACTCTGACGTCTAGCTCAGATTTTACAAGATGATAGACTTCTTTAGATAAAACTCAATTAACGCTAATTCCTATTTTGTTTAATACCGTGAAGGTTTGAGAATATGTTATATGCTGAACTGTGGTGTACATTGGAAGCAAATTACAGAATTTTCTAAGAATAAGATTATTCAAAATACAAGGCAAATACCTCAGAAACGAGATCATTAAGGGCCAAAGCTAAAAGCTCCCAAATGTAGTAGCCATCTTTGCTACAAGGATCTTCACTTTTTCTCCCCAAAATCATCAAAACCATGCGGCCATGAGTTACCAAATCCTCTGCTCAGCAGCTCAGAAATGTCGAGAAATCCTTCTCAAATTGCTTGACATATGCCCTTATCACGCTTGAAGGGCTTGAACTTTCCATGTAAATGTTTCCTTTATTAATCTGTTCCAATTCAGGAACCTGAGGAGTAAAACCAACATTACTTAAGTTCGATTTAGAAAAAAAAAATTGTAAACTTGAAACCAACTGAAAAAAAAAAAAGGAAAGGAGGAGAAAACAAGCTTGGGACAGCCATTGAAGACTATAAGATGAGTGAACAAAATGAAGATTTTTGGTGGGGAAAAGCCTTTGGTAGAATGAACCAGGAACTCCAGCAAAAAAACATGGTCCAAACCCTGATTCCATCTGCATCTTCAGTTTTTCTTGAAACCGTGGCACAGACTTGAAAATGGTGTTGAAATCATTGCTAGGAAGATCATTCAAGTATACCTGATATTCTGGAGATTTATGGCCTAAAATTTTGCGTTTTCGTTGACAGTTTTGATGAGCTCAGAAACTGCCAGAAAAGTGTTAGGTCCAGATGAACATCCCAAGTCCGCAATGCTGATGCTTTTGGGGATGAGGCTGCAGTAGAGATCAGTAATAGCCGCTTCTGTTGTTGGCCTGGTCATTAGTGTCACCTTTTGCTGCATGGTCCAAATTGAAGGTAAATGAATACTAATCAAATTGTTGTCTTTTTCCATATAACCCACAAAAAAAAGGAAAAAAATCCGCATGCAAAGATTGTATCAAGATTAAAGCTTGGTGCAAATTTTGAAGTTAGGAAGTAATCCCAAGAACAAAATATATTGTTCAAGGATTATATTAAATATATAGAGAAGAAGAAAATTAAGTTAGATGTAAAAAGAGAGCAGAATTTATTTAGGATAAGTAGACAACCTGAACCAATGAGTTGTTTGCATAACTTTTATCTCCATTCCCTCCATTCATGTGAAGAACTTCAATTACTTCCATCGTCCTTTTGCTTTCATGATCGACTTTCTTTTGATGAACAAAGCTAATTAAGCTGATTTTCCTTGCTTTGATTCGCTTCGATCTGCGAGTTTTCCTTAATGTGCTCATATCCTACTTATAATGGTCATTTGGCACCCTGGATGGTGATAGAGATATTATTTTAATACTTAAAAAAAAGTGGCTAAAAATTATTTCAGACTTGCAATGTTGAGATACACACAAGGAATGAACAGTTTTGAATTGCATTCGTTACATAAGCTACCTACGTTATTAAATGCATCGGCTGATATCGTAGAATTGGACAATATCAGCAATTAATCTCAAATTGATAGAAAAAACGTAGTCAATTTAACATGTACGAACAAACTTTAAGATTTTTACCTAAAACGGGAGCTTCAACATTGTGTTTGAGTACTATACTCTTCAAATAAACATGCGGCACCTATCTACAAGCAAACATCACAGATTAGCTTGCATTTCAGAGTGAAACACAATGAAGAAGATTTACATAGCATGTAAACATGCATTAGAACATCTAATTACAGGTGCAAGCTGTAATTTCGTTAGGCACTAATGTTTCTCAATCAAGAGAAGAATTCAGAACAAAACTTTAGAAAGGGAAAAAAGCCAAACTTCATTTTTTGTCAACCATTTTTACTTAGAAACATAGCTATGAAGTCATTAAGGTGGTCATTTCAGAAATGCATGGTATTAGGGTAAAGCTTAGGAACATGTAGAAACAATTGTAAGTCCCAAGGAAATCAGACGCATACTTCTAGACAGAAACTAAGAAACAATAAGAAGCACCAAGAAAAATAAATTGCAAGAATATAGTCCAATCTTAATTAATTTGCTGAGATATATGGGTGAAAAAACTAATCACATGCGGATTTTAGGACGATATCAAACTGTACGCTTCTAATATAAATCTTGTCAGTGAATGAGTAAACAATGTAGATGTCATAAAAAAATATCCAAAATGAAATTTCTAAAAAGAAAATCAATATAAAACAACCATTCTGGCAGGAAACATGCACTAATAAGTGTCGTCAGTCAGACGCTATCAAGCACCCGCAGCTAATAGCTATAAGCTACTACTGAATTATGAGACTGATAAATTTATTTCAATCAAGCTATCAAGGTCAATAAAAAGTAGGCTGCATCTTTGCAAGAATCAAAGAACTGTACACTTACAAAGTTTTAGGAACAAGACAGAAATGACTTGCAGAAGCTGTTCATTTGGAATGCCAACTTGAGCAGTCAACAAGTTTTCAAAGACTCCACAAATAGATTTTACTGCTAGTCGCTCAATAAAGGTAGGCTTATCATCTTTGACCTGACCTTGGACTGCTAATATAACTTTTCCATCAATATGAATGTTGATCAACTCTTGCAAAATATTTGAAGCCTGCAAAGCATTAGCGTCAGAGCTGAGAAGGCCTAAACAGACAATTCAATAAGTTACTATTAGTAATTCCAGAACAATAAATTACAAACGAACCATTATTAATTCAAAAAGAAAAAAGAGAGACTTGACAGACTTGCACCAAACTAAATGAAGGTTTAAAGTTGAAAATATTACTTATTTTATGTTTACTGATTTAAATGCTAGTTTTCAAATTGTGTTTGAGCAGAAGCCTGCTCAATCTCACATGCACATTAATCAAGAAGAAAGACAATTGATAGGAATACCCAAGTAACCTTTCTTTGAGACATACATTTAATACTGAATCTGGGAAAATCTATTTGCTAACATGTGTGACAGAACATGAATTTTGGATTATATTGAAGAGGCATGATAACAAGTATATAGCTTTTACGCTCATTTGTGGATACTTAAAATAACATAGACAAGTATGAAAACAAAGTTTGTCATTCAAACTCAAAATGAAAAGCAGTCCAAATTCACCAGTTCTAAAAATAAATAAACAGAGTAAATTCTGTCGTTAACAGAACAATGCATCAATGGTGGCAAAATGTGAAGCAACACACAAATGGTGGCAAAACAGAAGGCTATCTATTGATATATCAATTGATTAGATTGAGAGAGAGATACATCCAGAGGCTATCACTAATAACGCTTTTAGTCATTTGGATTGCTCTTTATGTCAATGTTTTGAAAACCGGACCGGACCGGCCGGTTCGACCGGTTGAACCGCGAACTGGCCATGGCACCGGTCCGGTTCAATACCATAATTGACTTTGCCAGAAAATCGATCAAGAACCGGTCGAACCGTAAAAACCGCGGTTGAACCGCTATTGAACCTGTTTTCAACCTTCCTTTTTTTTTTTTTTTTTTTTGCAAAATGCAGTTATCAAGATTCGAACTCAAGACCTTTGTAATAGAAGACCAATGTATTAACCATTGCACCATTACATCTTATTAGTTTTTTTTTATAACTTATTTATATAAATCAAACACTCATATTTCTTTTTTTCATTTTTCTTACAAAATTTCATCCTCTCATGGCTCTTTCTTTTTAATTTTCAACTATCTCTCTCTCTATCATCTTTTTTTTTGTCACTCCCTTTTTAATCAAACCTCTTTATTTTTAATTTATTGATGTTTTCTTCCATCTTTTAATTTTGTTTTGTCCATTAAATTGAAAAAAGTTAAAAAAGAATTATTTTTTTAACCCAAATTATTTAATGCTACAACCACTCACTTTTATCTCATTTTTTGTTTCTTATCAAGTTTACATTTCTATTTTCGATTTTCTTGACTTCCTTCGAACTCCAAACTTCCTTTTTTAAATTGCAATCTCTAAAACGTAAATTAAAATTTAAGTTCACAATATCTAAATTTTCATAGACGTGAATTTTGTATAATTTCAAAATATTGTGATATTTTTGGGTTGGATTTAGATATAATTGAAATTGAGATGAAATTTATTTGTTTTAACTTATAATTTAAAAAAATTATTTTTAAAAAATCCAAGTTATTAAAAAATAGTAAACCTTTCATCATATAAAGTATTAAATTAATCCATTACATGTCTTATTTTGTACATATATATATTTATATAAATAATTTTTTAAAAAATTCATTGAACCGAGGTTGAACCGGTCCGACCGGTTGAACCTCAACCCTTTCACTTCACCGGTTCAATTAACGGTCCGGTTTTTAAAACATTGCTTTATGTATTTTTGTATTAGAATCTGAAACATATAGTACAACTGCAATCAATATTGTTAGCTTAAAGAAAAGGTTTGGCAAGAAAAAATGCTTAGCAGCATTAGTCCAAACCTTGGGCAACTTGCTATGTGAGAAGGATGTAGCAGACAATAACCTTTCATTTTTTGGCTCATTCCCAACCAATGCACTTTTTTACTCAATTGAAGACAACCTATCTGAATCATTTCCAACCATTTTCCAAATTAAAAAAATGTTGATCCATCAAAACGGAATACTAAAAACTTATAGCAGAAATACAATAAAATTACATATCAATGCCTGCTAAAAAAAAAAGGGTTCTCTTATCATCGAAAGTTAGTTCAATGCTACTCGTTTCCAAAGATATCAATGTTTTGGAAAAAAAAAACAACAAACCAATCTTTCAGTAACTGGTTATTGGTGTGGACTTTCCACAGTAACTGAAATCTCTTCTCTATTCGCATGCATCTTTTACAAAATTTTGTCTCAATTCACACACAAGGAGTTTTAATCAGCCATTAAGATAGTAAAGTAGAAAACTCAGGAGATTTATATAAAAGCAAAATGCTAAACATTTATACAATGGCTTTCGTTTCCAGCCAGGCTAAATCACATATCATTACTTTGTTGTTGGTTTATAGAAGATGTTGATGTGGCTGCTTTCCTTGCTTTTCTCATTTGATAAGCTTTCCCCTGTTTAGGACGGCTTATTTTTCTTCGATTGATAAGCATGGTTCAAAGTCACGCGTCGCGGTCGCGGCCCGGAATGTTCCACATCGGTCTCGGCATATCGGTTGCGGTCTCGGTGAGATGCCAATTTTAAAGTATTTATTATTCTAAAAATTATTAATAATATAAAAAAGTATGCTAAATAAAAATAATTAAAAAATAGCAAAAGAAACAGCCAAGTCAATCCGTCGCAGTGTGACTCGACTGATTTCTCGTCTTGACTTGAGATAACTCGGAATGACTCGGTGTGACTCGGCCGAGTCACACCGTCGCGGTGATGACTCGGCCGATTTCTCGGCGAGTCAAGTATTTCGGTATCGTTTCGTCACGGTATCGTATCAATAGAAGCCGAGACTACGTCTCGGTCTCGGCCGAGACTTCGAACCATATTGATAAGGGAGCATATTTTTCTCGCAATTTTTGGTTCCGAAGAATCTTCTTATTCATTAAATTTGCAGTTGCATCACTTGCAGGCATTGCATGCTGAATATCCAAAGTTAACACTAAACATGACAATAGTAGAGATATTAAATTCTAATCAAAGAAGGGAAAACACAGGCCTGGTGAGTATTAAGGCGTTAACCAATGGATTAATTAGATGACTTTTTGATGATCAAATTCTACAAGAATTCAAGTGCTCAAAACAACTACTCTAACAATGGGAACGACAAAATTTTTTTCACAGTACCAACTACTCTAAACAAACCGATCCAATGGTCTTGATTTAAGATTAAAATTATCGTGTTGCCAAAATGCCTGGCTCAGCTGGATCATTTGGAGAAACATATTCTTTTACATTTGAGGAAAAAATCTACAATACTGATTCCACCAGATTCGAGTTTCTTTGGTAAGGTTGCAAAGAAAAAATGGGGATGCAGAACTTACTGTCCTTTCCGGCCTAGTTTGGCCCCCATTCTGTAATGTTTAAAGTCGTTGAGGCTTAGATGTGATCTTTTAAGCCAAAAATTTTCTGACAGAATTTTATGAATTGGAGATTTTACCTGCGGTAACCATGGTTCGAAGACTCGGCCGAGACCGAGACGTCTCGGCCGAGTCGTAACCGTCTCGGCCTAGGCCGAGACGATACCGCGACGAATCGAGACCGAGATACTCGTCTCGCCGAGAAATCGGCCGAGACGTCACCGCGACGGGTTGTCACCCCGAGTCATCCCGAGTCAAGGTGAATTTAACAAAAAATCTATAGAAAAAAAGCAAAAAAAGAATTAAAAAAGGGAAATTCGAGGACCTCTCTACTGCTATATCGAACCATGGCTAGTACTGATGATCCTTCATACGGGAAAGAAATGCGAGTGATGGGAAATAGAAACAAATTTGCCACAGTACTATCACGTGAAAAGATGCGTTTTCTTTTCCACCTTGGAGGTGTACTACCTTCACTTTACTTTGAAGGTACTACCTTCACTTTATTTGAAGGTACTACCTTGAATGGTCCACGTTAAACATACTACCTTCACTTTACTAAATTATTGGACTAGTAGTGTTGCAGAACGTAGTAATCCTTTCCGTTTCCTTCAATTCTTCTTCATGGTAACTTAACTCTGTCTTCTTGCCGAGCTTTGGAATTCCGCCCTCTGAAACAAAGTAGAATGTTGCAAAAAGATAGTGCCCAATGGAGTCATTTGGCCATACCTTCACAGAGATAACCCAGATGGTTGTGATTCATGTCCTTTTTGCCTTGTTCTCCCTTGCCTTGTCAAGCTTCAGCAGGTAATTGATTTTCTTATTGTACCTTCAGATATTCTGCTTGTAAGGTGCTCTAAGACATTAGAGTTATTAAAAGAAACTGATCCATTACAAGGGCCAACTGTAGCTTTCCCAGACAGTCGTTTCACTTATGATATGAATATACAGATTGGTTTAGGATAGAGTGTTCATCAATTAATAACAAAAGTAGTGGTAGCTTCAGGATTCATCAAGTGAATAGAATAATAGAAAAACCTCCCATCGTACTCAGTCTTCATGAGAGTGGGGGCATAAGTACTGATGGTTTTGCAATGTGTAGACTAAATAGCAGTAAAGAGATGAATAAAGCGAGGGAGGGGAAATGGGAGGTGAGTCCCAAGGTTTTGGGTGAAAGGGAAGCAGAAAGAAATGGAGTGGATTTGTTTACAGCTAGAATGAGGTGGTGGATTCTCATCTGAGGGCAATCACGACATTATTGCTTTGCTCATGTGTTGTTCAGTTGATGCCAGTAGGGAATTCTTGGGGGCCTAGGTTGTTGAATAGCTGGCCGTCCTGCTCTTCCCTCCTGCTGATAGGTATCCCCAGGTGGAAATTAGCAATCTGCATTCACAAGTGACTCCAAAGCGTGAGTAAATCGCGTCTTTTTACCGGCTTTTTAATGGTTAGCAATCTTGGAGGTTGGATTTGTACTTTGCTTACTAATCCATTGCGATGCTTACTAAATTATTCTTTTTTCCAAGAATAATTTTTCCTCTATAAATTTAGTAATCCTTATGTATAAAACAAAAACTTTTGTAATTCTTGGACGACTAGGTTGCAAAGTGAGTGAAAAATCATGTCTAGTTATATATATATATATATATATATATATATATATGATGGTTAACAAAGAAATTGGAGAGATATGAGAATTGCTTCCACTGTACGTGTATATTTTTGTGCTAATAGAGAGGGACATTTAGTATTATCTTCCAACTTATTATAATACATAATCATCCTGGTGATCATGATCATGAACTAAAAACTATAGGAAGATGGAGAGCTAAATTATATGTTTAAGTTAATCACCCATCAACAAACAAAATGCCGAAGTTCTTATAATAAATGAAAAAATGATCATTGTTGCAGGTTTACATTATAGATTAGATGTTTAACTTACTAATATAATAGAAATAAATTATTATAATTATAAAATGTTAGAAACTGCTTGTTGTATTTTTTTTCATATATCTTTAATTATTTTGTGATGTATTAACCATTTATATTGATATGTGTAATAGTTACAATGACGAGCAAGGATATTGGTTGGGAACATGGTAAACCCGTGGGAGGGAATAGAAAAATTGTGAGATGCAATTATTGTGGAAAAATAATGCATGGTGGCATTACAAGGTTGAAAGAACATGTCGGTCATGTCATAGGACAAGTTGAGCCTTGTCCAAGGGCCTCAAGTGAAGTTAGAGATTTAATGAAAATGCATCTAAAGATTGGTAAGATTCAAAGAGCTACAATAAAACAGAAAAAAGAAGAAATATTGAATTCTTTCCAACAAGAAAGTATGCATGGTAATTTCAACATGGTTGGCGACGAGGAGGACGAAGTCTTTTTTGAAATTGATGAAGAAAGTCGGATGGCGTTGGAAAAAAAACAAATGAAGCAAGCAATTAGAGAGAGCCAATACTTGCAATTTTTAGACGAACAACGAAGGCATTCGGTATCTGGGAGTCGACCTTCTATGTTTATGTCAGGTATGATTTGTAAACTAAAATATTATAACAAATTTGATACTATTTTATTAAATATAATTACATAAAGTTGCAATTTAGTCATTCATTTTTTATTTGTTAAATATTGTGAATTTTAGGGAATATGGGTGTTGGCACTTCAAACCCAACGACTTCTGAAAATAAAAGAGGATTGTCACGTAATTTCAGTGTCAGACAAGCAGATGAAATGACAAGCAGAGGAATTGACTCACATATGTTTCCTTCGAAACAAAAATCAGTCAAATCAATGTTTGCGAAGGAAAATATAAAAAGAGTTGGTAAGGCAGTTTCAAAGTTTTTTCATTTCAATGCTATACCATTTCATGCAGCTGACAATCCTTATTATCAATCGATGATTGATGAAATTGCCAAAGCTGGTTCTGGTATTAAAGGCCCTTCAGCTTATCAAATTGGAAATGAATATTTAGATGAAGAATTTGAAGAGCTTGAGAAATATCTTGGAGATATTTATGATAAATTTTCAACTTTTGGTTGTACACTTATGTGTGATGGGTGGAGCACTCGTACAAAACATCCAATAATAAATTTTATGGTATACTGTGATAGGCACATGATATACCATAGTTCAGTTGATTGTACCAATATTAAGAAAACTGCTGAATATATTTTCAAGTTAATGGATGAGGTAGTAGAGGTTGTGGGGGAAAAAAATGTTGTGCAAGTTGTGACAGATAGTGAATCTAGTATGAAAGCTGCTGGACAACTGTTGATGAAAAAAAGAAAAAATCTTTTCTGGTCACCTTGCGCTGCGCATTGTATAGATTTGATGTTGGAGGATATTGGCAAAATGGATAATGTAAAAGAAACTATTGCTCAGGGGAAGAAGATAACAAGTTTCATATATAACAGTGACAAAGTAGTGAATCTGATGAAGACATATACAAAAAAAAGGGAACTGCTACGTCCAGGTATCACTAGATTTGCAACTGAATTCATTTCTATGGAAAGTCTTCTTCGGCATTGTACAGAACTGAAAAGAATGTGCACCTCAGATGAATGGGCAGAGTTTAATAACACTACCAAGAGAAAAGCAGAAGCTATTAAAGTAGCTGAGTTGATATTGTCAGAGAAGTTTTGGAAAAAAGTTAGAAATGTGTGTGCAATAATGGAGCCTCTGGTCAAAGTTTTAAAAACTATTGATCAAGATAATAAGCCAACATTGCCAATTATTTATGAGGCAATGGATAGAGCAAAAATGGCTATTCAAAAGTCGGTGAAATCTTGGAAAAAATTTGGGAAGTGATTGATAATAGATGGTACAATCAACTTCATCGGGATTTACATGCGGCAGGTAATTTAAAATATTACATCCAATTTAAATATGTAATATTTATTTATTTATTTATTTATTTTCTAATTTTGTTATTTTATTGTATTTAGCATATTTTTTGAACCCGATCCTTCAATATTCTGGAACTTGTGAGTTTAATCTGGATGAAGTTCGAAGAGGGTTAAAGAACGTCATTGCAAAGTTGGAGCCAAATTTAGATGCACAAGTTGATTCAATAAATGAGGTATTCTTTTGATTATTTTATTTATTTATATTAATCAACAAATTTTAAAATTTTAACACTTGTGTATACATTATTTTTGTAGATCAAAATTTTTGCAGACAAAAAGGGAGGCTTTGGAAGTGCTATTGCAGCAAGAGCATTACCAAAATCTTTACCAGGTTTCAACTTAATTCATACTTACATAAACATCCAAATCATATAAATGAAGTTAATATTTTTATAATATTAAAATAATAATAATAAATGAATGTTATTATTACTTTGTTTGTTTAGCTGAATGGTGGCTTAACTACGGTGAAGATGCGCCAAATTTAAGGAATATTGCAGTGAAAATATTGAGTCAAACCTGCACATCCTCTGGTTGTGAGCGAAATTGGAGTACATGGTCATTAATTCATACAAAACTACGCAACCGTTTGGCAGTTAAAAAATTGCATAAATTAGTTTTTGTGCATTACAATATGCGATTGAAGGTGAAAAATTTGATGCATCAAAGAGATACTGATGATTTCTACAACCCAATTGACTTGAATCACATTTTTCACCAAGATGATATATTGGATGATTGGATAAGAGAAAATGAACAACCCACATTGCCTGAAGATAATCTGGATTGGTTGGATAAGGGCATTCATCAAACTGAATCAGAAAGTAGTGAATATCAAGAACATGACAACGATGGTTTTGGTGATACATTGTCCCAATATATTACCAAAAGAAATAAGAAAGGTCTTGCTGCATCCTCAAGTAGGAAACAAAAAAGTAAGACTAAACAAACCAGTAAGCAGACTGTTCCGTCATCTTCAAATAAAAGTGACAGCAGTAATGATGATGATGACAATGGTGACAATGGAGATGGAGGGAACAATTCTTCCAGGCATAGTGGTTACAATCGAGATAGCCAACAAGCAGGAGGTATGTCATGGGCTCAAGGACAAGATAATTATTATGCCACTCAAGATACTGATCATGGCTATCGTCCTGGTATAGAAGCACAACGTCAATTCCTCAATGATTTAACTCAATTTTCAAGTGAGGATACTTTCTCTCACCATTCAGGGTCACAAAGATATAGAGGAGTCAATGATCAGATGCAAAATTTGGGTATATACTCAACTTATGAGCATGAATCTAATCAAAACCGTAGTACTAGTCAATTGGGATATGGCTATGACCAATCATATGGAATCACTCCTGACTATTACAGTGGATATCGGCCATTTGACAGACCTGGACAGGTTGAAAGGTCTACTAGCATTCATGGTAGTGGATACTATGAAAAAGAAATAGATAAGTCTCATGATGGTTCTTCTTTTGATTCCAATAACATTGGATTTTATGGTCATGATTCTACTGCATCATATGGTACCAGCGATAGTGTTAACTATCGAGGTTTGGATACTACCATCAACAAATCATCTCCAATCCAGAAGTTCTTCCGTCCAATGATTATGGAACATCTAGTCAATCCTCACATCCAGTAAATACACCAGATAACTCGTTTACACTACCTACTCAAGGTCCTATGCCACTTCCACATCTGTTTTACCATTCATCGACCAATCAGGATGATTTTGAACCACATCGTCATTCTACTTGGTATTAACAGGTACGAAAATATAAAGTACTAGTATATCTTTTTACATATTTACCTTTTATCTAATATGATTTCTTTTTATTTTTGGCAGGAGATTGATCAAAATATTCCAACTTTATGCTATAAATAAATCTTTAGTTTGTATTGTTAATGGTTGATATTACTTTTGCAATTATTAGTTTTAAAATTGTGGTCTATGTTATTTTGATTTTATTTGTGATGCCATTGTTTTAAATAATTAAAAGTACTTATCGTGTGTAATATGTATAAAAATAGTACATTTTACAAATTTTCTTTTGTTATTTTTTATTATTTTTGTTTAGCATACTTTTTTTTATATTATTAACAGTTTTTAGAATATTAAATGCTTTAAAATTTGCGTCTCACCGAGACCGTGACCGATATGCCGAGACCGATGTGGAACGTTCCGGGCCGCGACCGCGACTTTGAACCATGGCGGTAACCCACGTGAATGCACTCCTGCATCAACAAATGAGAAAAAATACTTGTTTGCTACAGGATTCACCTTCATTCAGTCCAAAGAACATATATTCAGTCCACGTGAATCCATTGTAAGATGTCGGGGAGTCAATCTCCCACAATCCCTTTGTTAGACAACATTTCCTATATGCTGAACTTGCAGAGACATAAAACATGAAACTTTCCCATGAGAGAAATTATACAAGTGCAAAAGACCATATAAAATGAAAGCTATATCCTCTCACCTCCTTGATTGGTCCAGAAAGGAGAGCTAAAGTTTCGGAATCTTCCTTGGTCTCTATCAATAGAGCTGCAAGTATTGCCTCAGTGCGCTAACGAAGGAAAGTTCACTTCTCATCACGCGTCTATTGCACAATTTCCTTGCATAGGGCAATCTGAACATCAGATGTGGCAGGTATTTTGGCCACCGTATCAACAATTCCACAGATAATTTTTGCAGCTTTTGCTTTGGGGATCATTGAAAAGAAGGGGCCGAAGTTGGGTCAAAAGGTTCTTAAGTTCCTTCGCCTTATTTTGTTGCCTAAGCAGATCAGAGAGATTGGACATGGCCTGCTCCTTTATTGTTAGGGCCTCTGGAGAAGATGAAGGAAGATGAAGGGTAGGCAAATATCTGGTAATAGATAAAAATGGCCTCAAAAGGGCTAGTGGCTTCAGAAGCTTGTGTTAAGCGAAGCAGTGGCAGCTGGCAGGGAAGATGTAGGCATGGTAACGCCTCAGATGTTTGGACACCTGTGATTTAGATGCCAATTGTGTAAGTGGTAGCAGGATAGAGCGGTGAGATGTGAATGCAAAAAATAAAAGCAGATATGGAGTCAGATGAAGAACAATTTCCAATAGCAAAAGTAGAAGGCTACCGTGAAACACAGATATGGAGTTTTGCGGAGCAATAACAAAAGGGATAATTTCCGAAACCTACCCTGAGGTTTCTGATACTTGCACTGAGACCCCCTGAAATTCTCAAAATTTCACTGACCTCCCTTGCTTTTGAGTTTTTGGTAACAAAGCAGTCCAAATCATATTACAATATTATTTTCATGTGTGAGAAGGTATTTTTATTCCATGGCTGCCCTTTTGCTCCTTGTATTAGTAGAAGATTGAAAGAAGAATAAATGATTTGGACTGATTACTAAAGTTGAGGGGGTGTAAGTATAATAAAAAAAACTGTAAGCACCAGATGTGCCATGCAACAGTTATTTGGCAGATTTTGCAACGGCTAGCTGCAAATTGCAACGGCCAGATTTTTGTACAATCAGTAGCAATAGCATATAAAGCAAAGCAACTTAACTACCTCTGATTCAAGCTATTATCATTCTTTGCTGCTGATTTGGAGTGATAACAAAGCGAATTTGCTGTGCTGCAATTAGAGCTCTCAGCACATTGGCCATCCAGTCATGACAGAAACCAACTTCTTGGCCATCCAGTCAGACATGGACTCTGCACATTGGGGGCGCTTGCTGCTGGAGCAATTTACTACCATTTTTAGCTCTTCAAAATCCAAGTAAATTCTATTATGTCCAGATTCTTTTGAGCCTTTTTTTTTAAGGCCAAAAAAATTTAGCAATAAGGAGAGATGGCGGCACAAAAGAGAATCGAAGCAATATTAGAGAGGCTGTTTCCGGAATCTCCGACCACCGCCACCACCAATCCAAGCCTAATAATAGCGATAACAATCATCTATATAATAATGGCTCATCTGCTTCCACCATCACCAGGTCTTCTTCTTCAGCTTTCCTCGTTAATTCTCTTTATATAACTCTTTCACAAGTTTTTTTCAACGGCTTCTCATTGCTCTTTTATGTACTCTTTTTTTTTTTTTGGTTGAAAGTGAACTTTAGCTGCTGAAGTTGTCACTTCGTTGTTTCCTCCGTATTTTAATTTTTCTTGTTTGGATTTCGAAGTTATTGTGAACTGAAATGTTGATGCATAAGCTATAAGGCTGAAATACTAGTTACTAATATTGTATGATTTTGGCTGATAAATGAAATGTTGATGCATAAGCTATAAAGCCGAAATATTAATTATTAATATTGTATAACTTTGGTTGTTTTTTTCTTGTTTGTAGAGTATGATACTGTGTTTGAGTGGTTAAAATACAAGTTTCTACCTGAAATACCAAAATGTACCTTTAAAGGGAGTGTTTTGTGTGTGTTTGTTGTGTGCCTGCATGTATTTCAAAAATTTTTTTTTTTTGCTTCACCCTTGGTGTGCATCTGCCTATATCTACAAGAATTGGATAGCTCTGAGCAAGGAAATTGATCTTGCATTTCTTTTGTGTGCTTGTGTTTCTCAATAAGAATTGGAATACTACAACCAGAGAGAGTGAAACTTGTTGCCAATGATTTTATTTTATTTTTTACAATATTGGTTAAAACAGTAGTGCTGATGGAGTTTGGTGGTTGAAAGGCAAGAAACGGCCGAATGTATTCTCTGCATTGGGCATACTTGGTCCAAAATCAAGGTTAAATCCAACTGAGGAAATGCAGGTGTTATCAGGTTGAAATGGTTCAGTACATGCTCCATCTTGCAGACCATGGGACCGTGATGATCTATTTAGGAGGTTGTCTACTTTCAAGTCCATGACTCGGTTTGCTAAACCACGGGTACAAATCTCAGAGCCTGCTCTCTGCAATGGGAATTGTTTTTTTTTTTTTTTGGATGGTTGGTTCTAAATTGCAAGAATTAATTCTTTTCTTGTCAAATATCAATCATGGGCATTGGCTGTTAAAGCTTTGTCTAAATTTTCCTGATCCAATTTATAACTCCAATTCTAGTACACAAAATTTTTTGGATAGTTGAGAATTGATAAAAGTTGAGAATTGATAAAACTTTCATGAGATATCCACAAGAAGATCAATGAGGCGTGGCAACATTTCACTTGCCTATTTTAATGAGATGCTAGAAGCTCCATAAGCTGATCCACTTTGCCATATAATTATAGCATCATTTGTCAAAATTGTTTCAACCTGGATGTTTGCCTTTAGTGGCCATTATGGTGCTCATAACATCATACATTCTGGCACCCATTTTTCTCCATATTCATGAAACCAGAAATTTATATTTTGTAAAACTCCATCACTCCCACATCACCGATATATACACCACATTTAGAATCCACTGTGATTCATCTTTTCAAAGAGACTTGTCCAGAGTATAGTCCCTTGTGAGAATATAAGTATCATGCTCATGATATTGAAATCCAGTTTCTTGGCTGCTATAAATCAGGTTTTCAGTTCTTATATTTTTCAGGAAAAAAAAATTCTCTCCCATTTTTTCGTAAGCACTAAATGAGAGCCTCAGTTTCTCAGTGACATTAAGTATTCTATCATAATTGAAAGTGCAAACATGTATTGCCAGCCTTCATGCCAAGAGCTCAGTGACGGGATTTTTATATATCAATGCAAGTTTAATTCCGATTTTACACCCGTTGGACTGCAAGTATACAGGTCGCAATTGTAGTACAAGATGTGTATCGGGTCGATCCCACGAGGAGCTATTAAAACAATTATTAGACACTAATTTACTCTATTATTTAGACTCACAATAAATTTGAGCAGAAAAATTCAGAATTTAATTCAACTACAAAAATTCTTAACTAGATAAATGCAATTTCACAAAAGGAATAGAATTCACTAAATATTAAGATCTAGGGATGTAGATTCCACTTATGACTCAAAAGATCTAAAATGAATTAATTCAACACTTGTTATTGCTCTTGTTTAACCAAGGATTCATTTCCAGAAATACCAAAATCACATTCTCATGATAATAATGGGTTAAAACAGATTAGTTTTTCCTAATCTCTTGGTAAATACTAAATCTGTTCTTATTCACACATGAAATGCAGATTTCATCCACTTGAATGTATTTCTATTCTCATGAATATACAACTCAAGTTCTACTTGTGTCATTCCATTATTTTTACCATTTCTTAATGAATAAAAACAACTATAAACCTGTTATTGGTGATCAAACAACAACAAGTAATCAAGCATACACAAGTAGATAAGTTAATACAAGATATAACAAGTATAAATCACAATCACTTCATATCACTTGGCCATAAGCTTCATCTACTCCCTAGATAAAGGAAATTAGCTACTCATGAATGATGAAACACTCATAATTTCATTAATGCAAATCATCATGAATTTACAAATACAAAAAGAGTAAAGAAAGTCTTAGCCAAGATATGGTGAAGCCTTCCAAAAATCTCCTTGTCTTGAATTTAGATGATTACAAGATGAAACCTCAATTGTCCCTTTGCAAGTACCTAGCTAGAGAGAATATGTTTTTCTGTAAGAAACTAAGCTACGTATGGCTCTCCCAGACCTCTCTCAATGTCTTAGCCTAAAAACTACTCAAAGGCTCTATTTTTCCAAGTCAAATTCTAACCTTTGATTCCCAAATCTGCACTTTGTTAGCATAGTCAAAAACCAATATTTTTGACTTGAAAATAAGCCATCTTTATTGCCCTTTTGTCTTCTGAGGCATGTGCACCGAATTCTCTTGCAGATTGTAGCTGGAAAGTAGTTTGAACATAAGAGAATTGACTGAGCAAATTGCAGAATTACGGCCAGAAAACGCGCCTACACAAAACGCGGTTACAAGTCACGTTTTGTGTACTCGCGTATTCACTTTGGCCTTACTTCATCTGCGATTTTCTCTATCATAAAGGCCGAACTGGCTTTTGTGCAAAACACCAAAGTTGTATCCCTTTGAGTTAGCTTTCCAATGCTATAAAAATCATCCAAATCGGAGTTGTGCAGCCTGAGATATGGTCGAAATACTCTCACCTGGTCAAACCTCTGTTTCCAGTTTCGACCACAGAGTGCAGCTTCTGTATTCCGACTTTTTGTCCATGAAATGGGCAGAATTGGATTTCGATGTCTTCATACGAATTGTAGGTCTCTTTAGCTTTAAAATGGTATAAAGATCACCTTAATCCGATAAGTGTAGCTCCAGAATATACCAAAACTGATTTGTCTTGCATTTCCTCACTTGAACGTTTTTCACTTCATTCTTCTTGTTACCACTTGAATTCATCACCAACTTTCTATTTTTCATCTCATTTGACATCCTTTGGTGATTGAATCATCATTCCTGCATAAAAATGAAGTTTTTATCATTAAAATCACTAAAAATGCAATATTATCCACTTTTACCAAAAATATATAATTTTACCAAAAACCTCTTTATTTTATTTATAAAACTAGATAATCAACTCAAAATTAACTAATAAAATGCACTTAAAAATACGTAAAATAAACTCTTATCAAATACCCCACACTTGAATCATTGCTTGTCCTCAAGCAATATGAAATATAAAACCAACAATGATCCAAAAATTGAAAATACACATATGTAGTATTTCAACTCCATTTCCTTGAATCAAGGTAAATAACCCTTATGTGATCTTTCCATTAAGTTCAAGTACTCATAATATCAAGCAAAGAAGAGCCAAGTATACCATAATTTTACCAATTCAACTCAACTTCTTATTTTTATCCAATTTTGCAAGCAAGCAACTCCTATAGTCAATAAAAATGCTAACTAATCTCATGATCAACTTCTTATTTTTCTTAAAGAGGGATTTAATTTACTTTTTATTTATTTATTATTATTATTATTTTTAATATATTTTAAGGGTTAAATATTACTTAAGTTGTGAAAAATGCCTTTTGACGCGAAGATCAACATTTTTAGATGCAGATCCCCGGTTACTCAACATTTCACATACTCAAGTTGCTTTGCATACTCTTAATTCAAGTACCTTTTTACGCGAATGTCGACATTTGTAGATGCCAACCCCGGTTACTCGGTATGAGAATCATTGGAGTAGAATAACCCTTTTTTTTTCTTTTTTTTTTTTCTTTTTTTTTTCAATATATATATATAATAAAATTCCCTCTAAGAGTAATCATGAGAAGAGTATGACACTTATTAACCATATTAATTTCTTATCTTATAAAATTAGACAAAAAGAAGAATTTTCATCAAATATACAAAATGTAGGCATAATTTTTTCCACTTTACTAGATATACTTTCCTATAGATGTAAAAATTATAATCACATAAAAATCATTTCCAAATTTCATGAGAAAAGAAGTATCAAAACCACATATATTTATTTCAAAAGGATAAGTGACAAAATTTTATTTATTTATTATAGTTAATAACATATATGTGTATAAGGTTTTGGAAAAATTTTGACAGAGTCTCCCCTTAAAAGTGGACTAAAACTCCCTGCCAGCAACCACAAGAAACACAATTTAAGCACAAGAATTATATCGAACACAACTAAAATCACAAGTACCACACATTTCTTCCCCCACACTTAGAATACACATTGTCCTCAATGTGTAGGGAAAGAAAAGAAAAGAAACAAAAGAAAGGAACAAGTGACTCCCCAAGTGATATGGCTGCGGTCCAGTGAAGCCTTGAATCCTGAGCCATCGACCGCTCAATCATCTACATTCAACGACCTACTAGTTACTGCCACAAGTTCCAATATTCAAAATAAGGAATGTAAGTTAACATTTTTCAAACAAAAGATAAAATAACACACAAACAAGCAAACAAAAGAAAAGCCAGCCAAAGGGCAGCCTCAATCATCCTGTTCATTGTCATCTTCATCATTATCGACGGGAGGTGGATGTAAGCCTAGATGATGTTCAATGCGGTCCAGGCGAGTATCTAGTCGGCTAAATGATGGTCGATGTCATCCAAGCGGCCGAAAAGCCGCTGCCAATTGGTTTGTGGCGGAGGAGGAGGTGGTGCTGCAGTAGATGGTCCAGCTTCATCGCGACCATGTCTAGCCTTCTGTCTCCGCTCCTGAACAGGGCGTGGAATGTTCCCCGTGCCAATACCAAGCCGACGAAGAGTAGTAAGAGTCATTTCAGCTTGTGGAGGAACATTCTCCCGCCTCATGCCTTCCAAGCGAACCTCAAAACGGGGGAAGATTAAAGTCAGTAGACGAGGAAATGAAAGTTTGAAGGAAGTTGTCTTACGCCTCGCCATAGACCTAATGTGGCTGATGATGATGTTCGTCAATGAAATTCGAGCATACGGGGAAGTTCGGTTATGGAACATGTAATCAAGGAAGTAAATATCGCTCTTGCGAACCTTCGTGTGCCCCGTCTTCTTTGGGATGACATTGTGAGCCATCATGTAAATGATAAGCCGATGACGAGGTTCGAAGACATTCGCCAAAATGGTCTCCTTCCTTGTAGAGCGAAAAGGTTGGTACTCAAGACCAAACTTGGCCATGGCCAGCGAGGGATCCCACCTCCTATTCGGGGAACAAACTCCTTCTTCAAATCTACTGGACGGCCGTCATCCATACACCCCAAAATAGCGGCCAAATCTTGTCGTGACAAGACGATTCGTCTTCCACGTACCCAGGACTCAACTATTTCTCCACTATGACGCGCCTTACTCTCAATGTTAGCGTAAAACTCGCGCACCAAGTCGGGGTAGTAATGGTTTGGTAAGGTGAGAATCGGAGCCCATCCTAGCTGAGCAAAAGCCTCTGAGATGTTGTACATCATCTCAACTGGTGGACTGACGTGCATCTCAAACAAAAACTCCAAATTAGCACGCGCCTCATGCCACTCCTGATTCCTGCGAGTGTTGAACCTAGCACTGTCAAATACCGATTTTTCCGCTCCACGGGAGGTGCCCTCACCAGGCTGTCGGTTAACTGGTGGAGGAGAAGGTGAATTCTCCTCCTCAGTCACCTCCATCTCCTCATTAACCTCCTCTCCTCACTACTAGAGGATGAAAGTACCGCTCTTCTTCCCCTTGGCATAGTACCTCAATCACGTAGAAGGATGTTTGGTGATGCTAAAAATGTCAAAAGCCCTATGAAACAACCTCCAATTGACCTCCAATTGAAGAAATTAGAGTTTAAGAACCCTAACCTTCAATCCCTCAAAAACCTGATTTTAGGTGTTTTTCTTTGATTTTAATCGGTTAAAAAGGGTGTATGAATCTCAAATGGTGTTGGTGTGATGATATCTAGCAAGATTATGGAGTATAAATGGAATTCTGTGAGTTGGGCAGAGGAAAGATGGAAAAACGCGGCTGGAAAAATTGCAGAAGTGAAGAAATGTTCTGGAAATCGCGTTTTTGAAGCAAAAAAGTGAACTGAAAACGCGACTGAAAACGCGCCTTCAACGCGCGTTTCTGAAGTCGCGTTTTCTGCACAAATATTGCAGAATTGAAAACGCGGTTAAGCATTAAAACGCGACTTGAAGTCGCGTTTTACTGTGTCGCATTTTCATTTTTTGCTCAGGCGAGAAAACGCGACTTCCTCAAAAACGCGACTTCAAGTCGCGTTTTAAAGGCGCGTTTTGTGTTCTGCAGGCGCAGAATTGAAAACGCGATTCTGAGAAATGCGACTTTTAGTCACGTTTTCTTGGAAAACGCGTTTTCTGCTTCGATTTTTAGCAGAATTTCAACTTTTGAAAAATTACAAAAGGTACCCCAATCACTCAAAATGCATCATGGATCATTTGTTTGCAAATCTTATCAATGTGCGCACATGTAAAATGATAAAAAACATGCATTTTACCCCTTTTCGACGGATCAAATACACCTTTAACGCAAATGAAGGGGTTGAGTGATTGATCAAAGTTCGCATTTTTTACCTCAATGGTCATTCTTGCTTCCAATTGTCCACCCTATAATACAAAAACAACAAATTAACTAAAACACTTATTTAAGTCAATCAAAAATCACAAAAATTAACACAAATAACATAAACATTGGGTTGCCTCCCAATTAGCGCTTTTGTTTATAGTCGTTGGCTCGACTGAAAAAGTTGAATCTCTTTAGAGCATTAGGGAGCGATTTTCTCCCCATGGGTCGAAACTCCCGAGCCAATCCACCATGTGGTGAACCATGCATTGATCTTCATAGTCCAATTTCCTCAAATGCCAAGGAGGAATATTAGACTTGTCATAGAGAGGCTCAACTTCACCTTGGAGTGGATTTTGCTTGTCTTTTCTGAATTGGCTCAACTTTTCACCACTTTCTTCATGGAATGGCGAATTTATTAAGCCAACTTCCATCCTTATCTTCTCCTCCTTTGTTCCTACACCATGAAAGTTAGTACCAAGAACATTTATAAATTTAACTTCTTCGGTCCTTTCTTGGTTAACCTTTTCATCATATGGCATATTAGAAACAAGAGCAGTAGGCTCTATATTCCCTTCTTTATTATCCAAATTGAATTCCAATTCCTCACCATTAACCCGTAATATAAGCTTACCTTTTTCTACATCAATTATAGTTCGTGCAGTGGCTAAAAACGGTCGTCCTAGAATAATTGGCATTCTCACATCTTCTTCAATATCTAAGACAACGAAATCCACAGGTATTATAGATTGTCTTACCTTTATGAGCACATTTTCCAAAATACCCATGGGACGTGTGATTGACCGATCCGCCAATTGCAATGTAATATTGGTAGCTTTTAGCTCTTGAAGTCCCAATCTCCGGGCAACCGATAACGGCATAAGTGACACACTTGCACCTAAATCACATAAAGCATTAGAAAAATGCAATTGACCAATAGTGCAAGGAATAGAAAAACTTCCCGGATCTTTCAATTTAGGAGGGAGTTTATTCTTAATCAATGCACTACACTCTTCCGTTAATGCTATCATCTCATTATCTACAATTTTCCTCTTCTTTGACATGATGTCTTTCAAGAAACGTGCATAAGAGGGAATCTGTGTTATAGCATCAATGAAAGGAATGTTAATGTGCAATTGTTTAAACATTTTGAAGAACTTTTCAAACTCCCGATCCTGTCCATCTTTCTTCAACCTGTGAGGAAAAGGTATCACATTAGAATTTAATTTGGGATGAAGTGCATCAATATCAATGATAACATGATCATTTTGACTTTCTTACTCCCCTTCAATTGCTTGCTTCTTGTCTTTTTCACAACCTGAATTTTCAAAATCGAATCCCTCAACCGTTTTACCGCTTCTAAGAATGATTGCATTGACATGCTCTCTCGGATTCACTTCGGTTTTACTTGGTAATTCACCAGGGTTTCTATTGTTGATCACATTGGCAATTTGACCAATTTGAACCTCCAAGTTTCTGTACATCCCAGCTAATTGGTCCAACCGCCCTCAACTCGCTCGAATCTATCCGAAGTCACCTTAGCAAGTTTTTCCACCGCGATCTCCCAACTTGGTTTAGTTTCAGCCTGTGGTTGCCTTGGTTGAAATTCCGGCGGATTGGTTGGCCTTTGTTGATTGCCTTGATCTTTCCATCCAAAGTTTGGATGATTTCTCCACCCCGGATTGTAAGTATTCGAGTAGGGATTATTTGGAGCATTTCGGTTGTAATTATTGACAAATTGTACCTGCTCAGAATCAACACACTCATTAATATCATGTTCACCTCCACATATAGAACAACATGCTGCATGTGCATTAGATGAACTTGGACCAACTCCACCTTGTCTATTTAGCAACTTCATCACATTATTCATTTGAGCACTCAGCATATTGAGGGTGTCCATTTCTATCATACCTGCGTGACGTCTTGTATTACCTTTCATTGGCCCATTGGTAGTTATTTGCGGCCATTTCTTCTATCAAATTCTGAGCTTCTTGGGGTGATTTACCCATTAAAGCTCCACCTGCGGCTGCATCAATAATAGTTTTAGTGGAGAAAGATAAACCATTATAAAAGGTTTGTATGATTAACCACTCCGGCAGTCCATGATGTGGACATTTCCGAAGCAAATCTCTAAACCTTTCCCATGCCTCATATAATGATTCACCTTCCATTTGGCTAAAACTAGTGATATCCATTCTTAGCTTAGCAGTCTTACCTGGTGGAAAATACTTATTTAAGAATGCTCTTGATAAATCATCCCATCCGGTGAAAGTATTAGGAGCATGAGAGTGTAGCCAAAGTTTGGCCTTATCTCTCAATGAAAATGGGAACAATCTTAGCCTTATAGCATCATCACTAACTCCATTCATTTTAATTGTATCACAAATTTTCAAGAATGTAGCTAAGTGTGTATTAGGATCTTCTACTGCATTACCTCCAAATTGAGATTGTTGAACCATTTGGATAAGTGATGGTTTAATCTCAAAATTGTTAGCATTTACCGTAGGCCTTACTATACTTGTTTGAGATCCTTGTGTTCCCGGTAGAGCAAAATCTCGTAGAACTCGCCTATTTGCTTCATTTTCAGCCATTTCTTCTTCAAATGGTAGTTCTATCAAAATTTCCTCTATCGGTTGCCAAATCTCTTGTTCCTCTTGCTGTTGTGTGTGCCTCCTTTGTCTACGTAGTGTCCTCTCAATTTCTGGATCGAAAGGTGCTACTTCTCGAGACTCCCGGTGCATACACTACAAACAGAAATAAGGGATATTATGCAACTTCAATGGTAAAAAAAAAAAAAAAAAAAAAAAAAACTGATTACAATATAAGATTAAATATAATCTAAAAAATTAAGCTATCTAAATTAATAAAGATGATTAGGCTCTAATATTGCCGCTCCCCGGCACGGCGCCAAAAACTTGACGGGATTTTTATATATCAATGCAAGTTTAATTCCGATTTTACACCCGTTGGACTGCAAGTATACAGGTCGCAATTGTAGTACAAGATGTGTATCGGGTCGATCCCACGAGGAGCTATTAAAACAATTATTAGACACTAATTTACTCTATTATTTAGACTCACAATAAATTTGAGCAGAAAAATTCAGAATTTAATTCAACTACAAAAATTCTTAACTAGATAAATGCAATTTCACAAAAGAAATAGAATTCACTAAATATTAAGATCTAGGGATGTAGATTCCACTTATGACTCAAAAGATCTAAAATGAATTAATTCAACACTTGTTATTGCTCTTGTTTAACCAAGGATTCATTTCCAGAAATACCAAAATCACATTCTCATGATAATAATGGGTTAAAACAGATTAGTTTTTCCTAATCTCTTGGTAAATACTAAATCTGTTCTTATTCACACATGAAATGCAGATTTCATCCACTTGAATGTATTTCTATTCTCATGAATATACAACTCAAGTTCTACTTGTGTCATTCCATTATTTTTACCATTTCTTAATGAATAAAAACAACTATAAACCTGTTATTGGTGATCAAACAACAACAAGTAATCAAGCATACACAAGTAGATAAGTTAATACAAGATATAACAAGTATAAATCACAATCACTTCATATCACTTGGCCATAAGCTTCATCTACTCCCTAGATAAAGGAAATTAGCTACTCATGAATGATGAAACACTCATAATTTCATTAATGCAAATCATCATGAATTTACAAATACAAAAAGAGTAAAGAAAGTCTTAGCCAAGATATGGTGAAGCCTTCCAAAAATCTCCTTGTCTTGAATTTAGATGATTACAAGATGAAACCTCAATTGTCCCTTTGCAAGTACCTAGCTAGAGAGAATATGTTTTTCTGTAAGAAACTAAGCTACGTATGGCTCTCCCAGACCTCTCTCAATGTCTTAGCCTAAAAACTACTCAAAGGCTCTATTTTTCCAAGTCAAATTCTAACCTTTGATTCCCAAATCTGCACTTTGTTAGCATAGTCAAAAACCAATATTTTTGACTTGAAAATAAGCCATCTTTATTGCCCTTTTGTCTTCTGAGCATGTGCACCGAATTCTCTTGCAGATTGTAGCTGGAAAGTAGTTTGAACATAAGAGAATTGACTGAGCAAATTGCAGAATTACGGCCAGAAAACGCGCCTACACAAAACGCGGTTACAAGTCACGTTTTGTGTACTCGCGTATTCACTTTGGCCTTACTTCATCTGCGATTTTCTCTATCATAAAGGCCGAATTGGCTTTTGTGCAAAACACCAAAGTTGTAGCTCTTTGAGTTAGCTTTCCAATGCTATAAAAATCATCCAAATCGGAGTTGTGCAGCCTGAGATATGGTCGAAATACTCTCACCTGGTCAAACCTCTGTTTCCAGTTTCGACCACAGAGTGCAGCTTCTGTATTCCGACTTTTTGTCCATGAAATGGCAGAATTGGATTTCGATGTCTTCATACGAATTGTAGGTATCTTTCTTAGCTTTAAAATGGTATAAAGATCACCTTAATCCGATAAGTGTAGCTCCAGATATGATCAAAATACTGAAAAGTGTCAAAACTGATTTGTCTTGCATTTCCTCACTTGAACGTTTTTCACTTCATTCTTCTTGTTACCACTTGAATTCATCACCAACTTTCTATTTTTCATCTCATTTGACATCCTTTGGTGATTGAATCATCATTCCTGCATAAAAATGAAGTTTTTATCGTTAAAATCACTAAAAATGCAATATTATCCACTTTTACCAAAAATATATAATTTTACCAAAAACCTCTTTATTTTATTTATAAAACTAGATAATCAACTCAAAATTAACTAATAAAATGCACTTAAAAATACGTAAAATAAACTCTTATCACTCAGGATGGAGAGGCTCACTAAAATTTTCCTCTATGGTATTGAAAAGCTCACTAAACTGCCGGCGGACTTTGAGGGGAACAAAAGATGGAAACACAGAAAGCATGTGCAGTCCCAAAGCATGCTTCTCTTAATTAATATTTCTGCCAAACTCTAAACCAAACTCTAAGGACAAATTGGTCATTTCAATGCTCTGCATGTCAGCAATGGACCCCAATACTCTGCCTGGGGAGCTAGGTGAAATTTTTAAAACCTGGAAGGGTCTTAGTGCAAGTGTCAGAAACCTCAGGGGAGGTTTGTGAAATTATCCCATAACAAAAAAACGTTGTGTAATAAGCATAGAAAGACATATTCTCCAAATAAAAGCAGTAACCAGTTGTACCAGCTCCAAAAAAAGAACAAGCAAGAGGCTGGAATGACAAAAATGCCCTAGAGAAGAGGGGATGAAATGCAATGAACAGTAATGGCCAACAGAATTCAGAGGAAAAAGGGTCTCCAAGAATAGGTAAGAAGTTAAAAAAGCTAAATTACATAAAAAGGCATAATTAGATGGAAACACATCCATATAATCAGAATCTAGAGGGCTAGAAAAGTAATAAGGAGCTGTTCTATCAAACCCTCCCATCACATCTATCAAATGTTAAAAACACTCCCAACCAAATATTACGACCTTGCACATTCTACTAACCTTCGGGTAAGGCTAGTAATAAGGGCAGAAAAGACATATTTTCGAAACAAATGCAGCAATCAGTTGTACTAGCTGCAAGAAAAAGAATAAGCAAGAGGTTGAACGACAAAAGTGCCCCCGGAAGAGCATATGAAAGGCAATGAACAGTAACCCACAAAACGTCTTCTTATATGCTATAAAGATATCACAAATGTCCTAAGGTTTTTCCTAGTACCACTTAGCACTCCTGAAATTTTAAAAAATCACTTACCTCTCCTTATAATTACAAAATGATTATATTAACCCTCACTGGATACATAATTCACATATCAAGTAAATAAATCTCAAAATAATTAAAGGAAAAAGAAACAAAATTCACTTTCTTCTCTTTCTCCTTTCTTTAACATTTTCTCTTACTTATTTTTTTGGATGATTATGCAATTTTTTATTTGTAAATATAGTAAATTAAATTTTGTTTACCTTTTTCTTTTTATGATTATGATAGAGTGAGGTATGATTTCTTTGTTTATCTTGAATACATTTTTATAATGATTTAGTACAAGTTAAAGGTTCATACCACTGGTTGAGAAGAGGTTGGAAAAAAAATAAAGTTCATAAGAAATCGGTTTTGAACATATAGAGTTGAATTGGTGTTAGTGCTTTTTTTTTAAGTGCTAGTGTATTTCTTAACAAACATCTTTTTTGTTTTTCAAATGTGTATTTTTATGAACTATAGTTTTGTGATGTGATTGTTGGGTTTGGCTTTTATCCTACCAAATCCAAACCCAACAAAACAACGGTTGGTGAGATAAAATCCAAGTCCAACAGTGATAGTACTACAAGAAATTGTTTTTAAGGTTGTTCTTTTTTTTTTTTTGAAGTAAACAAAGCAGTTTAGGAGTATTTTTATTTAGTAAAATGAGCAAAAGGGTAGTTTAGGATTTTTAAAAATTTTGTTACACAAATAACAAAAGTAAGG